CCGTCAAACTCTTCAATATCTTTTGTTGCACTACGCGATTTACATTTTGTTCCATCTTATTATCCTAACATTGTCTAGTCTTTAGGCGCGGTTAGACCGATAAAACAAACATTCTAATAATGTCATACACATTATTAGAATATTTTTGGGGCACTGGGGTCACTCTTGCTTCTGGAATGCAAACGAAACTAGTTAGAAACTGTAACCGTTGCCACACTCTCATGGTATGCTTATGGTCAGCAAACGGGGGCGATGTTCGGGCGACATCATACCAAATATACATATATTCGATTTTCTAAAATCACTTTTACTTATTACTATAATGATTACACCTATAGTTAAACCCATAAATCTTAAAGAACATGATTTTAAACATCTAAATATGATGTAGCACCTAGACTACCGTTTAGTCAAATAATAACTGGCCCGAGTGGTTCAGGAAAGGGCACTCTATTACAATAATCGATATTAGACATCTATAGGGATGTATTTGAAAGAAATATACTTGGTCTCCTTCAGTCTCGGTTGATAGCAATTGGAAACCAGTTTCAAAATAGATTCCAGATAGTTTAAAGGTTGATTTCGAAAAGGAAAAATCTATGTTTGATGAATAGATACCAGAACAATTAGACAGTTATAAAAAGACAACATAAGGCAATAGAATATCAGAATAAGAACGACCACAAGAAAATTTGTTCAATATTAGTTATTGTTGACGATTTCGCTGACAGCAAAGCATCTTCAAAAATTCACCACTATTAAATCAGTTGTATGTTCGAGGAAGACATAACGCTATCAACATCATAACAAGCACCCAAGAATTCAATGCCCTATTGCCTATTATTCGTGTGAATAGTGGTCAGTTATTCTTCTTTAGGTTCAGAAACTACTAAGAAATAGAAACGATGGTGGAAGAATTACGCGCCGTTTTAATAAAGAACTAAACCACAGCAACGACTAAAAATCTAGCAGAAGCAAAAACAATCTTTTAGAAGTGTATAACCTAGAAACGGAAGAACCATACAGTTTTTAATAACTCATTTAATGAAAGCAGATGTAAATGATATGTTTTATAAACGTTTTGATGCTAAACTAGTTATTGATTAATGTAAGACTTAGATACTTGACTTTCTATAGCAACGATAATGGAAACGGTCTCAATCAGCGGAGGAATGCTCTATGGTTATACCCATATACCCCTAAAGATCCCGTCTGACCCTCCCCAAAGAGAAATCTGCCTCAAGAGCGAAGCTTGGACGCCTGTGGCCTGCTCCGCACCTTAGGAGCATACCGGCACCCAGAGAGATCTACAATATCAATCCTCGGGGCTAATACCATAACACTACAATAATGTACCAGAAGAATATACTACAAAACTACAATATAATGATACCATATTATACCATAATAATGGAAATCATGTAAGGAATTACATGGTGTTTGCTCTGGGCTGACGCCGCGTTTTCAGATCCTTCTAGAAGTCTGGGACGCGATTGTAGGGTCTAGGCTGAACTTGCCCTGCGCTTGAGGCTCATGTATGGCGATCAGTGCATTGTAAGTGCCCTTATGTGTCATGTGAGGGTCGTTATGCTACGTATAACTCCAAGTAGAGGACTTTACAAGCATCAACCTTCTTACCTGATCCTGGTAGGCATCGTGTTTGTCCCAGTCAAAAAGGACCAACTTGTCGGAAGACCAAGGCACAGCGCAGGCGATAGCTCAGCAGCTGCGAGGCACCTGACAGGATGTACCTGTGGCACCTCAGCTTTTTCTTACTCGCGCTTAGTTGGGAATTGGGGAATGGATTCGTTGTTGTCGGAATTTTGTAGATCCATTCCCCCACTTCCAATCGACATGAGTAGGGTAAAAGAGGAATCTGAGGGCAGCTGCATGCACACAGAGACCTTTTCCAGCACTAACATTATCGTTAGCACATGAAGCTCCATAGCTATTTGCGAGCCCCACCGGAACAGTGAATTGCCATCCATTTTGGGGAATTCTAGGACTAGGCGCGGCAGGCCACCCCAAAGCAAAGCCGGGGCGAAGTTTGGGTACTGGGGATGGCACGCACCAGGTTCTACGCACTTACCTTTCAGCATTACCTGGGGTCTGACAAGGGCAATTCTTATGAGCAAACGGTTTCAGGGCAGCCGTTCCCACTGGCCCTTGTCGAGTTCCATTTGGCACCATCGCAGCTTTAGAGACGCTAGCCACATCGCAGTTGACCTGCTTTCCACTCGCACTCCGAGAGATTCAGTGCTCAATCCTACCAGGCTCTGTCAGAACCCAGATTCACCTGTCGCATGCCTGAAATGCTGCCATTCCGGAGCTTTGTGGAATTTGAATAAATGAGACAGCAACTTTCTCAACATTTCTGCGCTTGAAATTGAAGGCCTGCCGCGTGTATTTGTAGACCATGTGCTGGTACGCAACTCTCACCTCTACACCAGCCGAGGCACAGGAATGCTTTTACCTTCTCCACTTCCATCTCCACACCAAGATTATCCGCTCGAACACCGCGTGTCACCCTGCCCCTGAGTTCACTGGATCTGGTCGTTTGCATGCTTTCTCTTGCACATATGAGGCAGCCAAATTTCTGCACAATTCCCTCTACTGCCGTGCAAGAGTGTGAGGAAAAAGGTGCTGCCGTGGTACACGCTGAAAGCGGAATCGAAAGCCGCATCGACCGACTGCGCGCGTGATCTGAAAGAAACGCCTGTTTCTGTGTTGGACTGCTTCTCTTGGACCTCGTGAACGCCACGTCTATCTTCCATGACCCATACTCGAACATCCGTAGATCCCAGCCACGACCTCTGCGCAAGATCCTGAGGTGACGGTGCAACCCCATCCCTTTCCAAACTCTTCATTCTCTGCAGCACAATGCATGCTTCACGGAAGTCAAGTTACCTCGCCGGCTTTGTAGCGCGACTGGTTGCTCCGGATCTCCCTGGCAGGAGGTTGTACAATGATAGCATGTTGGTATATGTTGGTAGTATAGAACATAAGGTTTCTGCTGCTACTAACCATACAGGCTCATCAGCGGGCCAACGAAATCTGAACCTCCGCTCCAACAAATGGCAGCAGCAACACCACCAGCAGGGGCAAAGTACCAGAGGCTAAGACATCGCATGGGTAGCACCTTTGCCATAATGACGTTTGCGACTACCTTTTCCGGTTTCCTCCTGCTCCACAAGCAGCTACACAAGGGACTTCTTAACGTATGGGTCCCTTCTTGGTGGGCTGCGAAATGGGAACTACACAACCAGCTCGAGCTTTGCCCAACTGGCAAGGAAGCTAGTCACGGCCTCGGAAGAGGCCCTGGCGGCTGTTGCGACTGCGGCCGGGCAATCCGGGGCATGTGCCTGGCTGAGGCTTCAACAAACATGGCCCTGCACGGTCACATCCCGGCTCAGGGTTGGCCTTCAGGGGCTAGAAGGGGTCTACAAATCGTGTCAAGATGAATCAACTCTATCTGAATTTCGACATATGCTGCACGTAACAAAACATTCGCATGTACAGCGAGTTCACCAAAAGATTTTGCTTCTTCAGCAAATTCCCAACCCATGTCTGTGCAGCTCCTTTGTGCGCGCTAAAAAAGGCAAGCATCCATTCTGCGGACACCAATGCAGCCCAATACTAAGCAAATTAATTGAGTCTAATGCAGCCTTAGGTCAGTCATACCTCTACTCCCCATAACTATCCACGTCACCTCAGTGAAAGCACAAATCTGATCAAGTCGCAGATCATCCTGCCACGGCTGCCAGGCCCTGGGTCATCACAGTGTTTCGGAACCACAAAAACCCTTTGAACTCTTTGTGGGATCGCTGCAGGAAACAGCAAGGCCTATGTCACATAACTGCTTCATCACCCCTAACACCCATGTTTTCTAGCGAGCATTGCGAGCTCCCACCGGTACCGGGCAGACTGAGCTCAGGAGGCCAAGAACTAGGAAACCCCCATATACACGTAGATATATATATATATACATATACTGTAGATATACACATGTTATACACATCCCTTTAAAACCTTCTAAAGCCTGTATAACAGTCAGCCTTGTACCTTTTTGCGGACAGGAGACCAAGGTTGTCATCATGAGTACTGTTCTTATTAGTCTTGCTATTACTACTATTGTTATTACATGTTATTACTACTGTTGCTGTTATTACTCGTTTTGCGCATGAGGAACCCCCATTGCCCCTCTCATCCTTGCTTATTCCGAGCGTTTTTAGGGCGGCACTACTTTGAGGAATGCTGCATGCCCATGTGCGCACGTGTGATCTGTTGCGAGAAGCTCTCAAGAAGTCCTTAGAGGGAGTGAGGGTGAGAATATGGGTATTACTGTACTCCGGGGTATCCACAGGAGAGTGGCATGACAGTTTTTGTAGCAAGCCGGCATGGTCAAGCAAAAATTCACCGGATGGGTGCTGTGCGGGGCAAGCATCCCAGTGGACACGCGGATGGCCGCAAGCTCAGCCAACGAGGACACATCGTCATGCAGAGGTACAGTGCTTCGGGTCAACATCAGAATTTACAGCATCTCGGAGCCAAACAGCTTGGTGTATGATCCATAAACAACCCTAACCCATGCAGCCAGAATTAGAAGACAATGCTGATGCATCAATCCATGTTTTTCAATGGCAGAACTGCCACTCAGGCAAAGCATTCGCTTTGCGAAGCTGGCCTGGAATCACCAAGTGCGTGTCATGTCTACCACGACGCCGACTGTCGCTTCTCACTAGTGATCACACCGGTAATACCCAAGTGCGGTCAGATGTGGATCGACTCTGTACCAAGCAGGAGTGCTGTACACAGGGTTCAGAACATTTCAAACATTGTCGCTCTGTTCTGCCTGTGAAACCGTCTGCAGCACCAGCCGAAGACAAACTGTCCTTTATGTCTCCTCCGGCCGCGCATTACTCCGATTGTGCACGGAGGCACCCGCATAAAGAAGACATCCTTGTAGCAGCACACAATGCAGGCAAAGGAAGCAAAAAAAATAGTAGCACATGACTTGCTGCGTGACACACGCTAAATAAATCCAGCATCAGCCCGCCGTTCTTCGGCGCCGCTTTGGGGATGCGAATGTCGCTGACTTCGTGCGGCATGCCATCACCGAGGTTGTTTCTGGATGTTACACGACTTGCGGTGCCTGAGCCCAGCACGTTGAACAACGCCACAGCTTGGCCAGCCCGCACTAAAGAAAAACATGTTTTGGTCTAGGCTCGGAGGCTCGTGCGCCCAGTCTCCGTGGCCACAACTGCTGTGGAACTCGACAGCTGGTGGCCTAACTTCCCACGGCATACTATGGTTTCTCAGCTTATCATATCTTGAGATGGGAAAAATGCAAACTGCCATGCGCGAGTCTGCTGAGTGCTGCAAATACAAGTGAGATCAGATGAGCAGCGTCGCGAGCGCTTGCTCGACACCTTGAGACCTGCCAAGGAAATCACCCAAATCGTGTTTCCATTGCATGCCATGGCAAACAACTGCACACCATGCAGGTGACACCAATCATCACTGTGAAGCAATTAAACACGCATACGCGGGCACATCATTGGTATCATTGCGGCAATGATCAGATTTGGCAATTGTCCCATGTTTCGGATGGCCGCGCCTTCTTGGTCCGCTTTTGACTTGAGGTCTGCATCAGACCGACCGATCCGGCTGCTCCACTCAAACCTCAGCCAGCTCCAACAGGATCAAAGAGAGGCCCTCCAACAATCCAGACTGTAATGGGCTTGGCAAGTGGCTGGCCATCGTCTTGCAAACCCTCTTTGGACATGAAGTCCTAGCAGGAGACTGGCTCGGGGATTCTGTGTTTTCAGATGTGTTGCACCCTCGTGTCTTACATCATTCATCAGCAAAGCAACCATCGAGTAACCAAGACATACCAAGGCGAGTTCATGCATAGCGCTTGCAGCAGCACATCTCCTTTATCAGTCATTGGGGGATTGGCCTGGGCCATGACTACCCGCTGAGTGCTAGCAAAAATCTGCTTGAGTTAGGTACGCTACATCTCCACCCCTGGCCTTGAAAAGCTTTTTCAAATAAGCATAGTCCGGCTCATCTTCGAAGCCAAGTGACTTGCAGTATGAAACCTCGGAGATAGCAGCAGCACCAAAAGCACCAGCACCGGCAGCAGCAGCAGCAGCAGCAGCAGCAAAAGCATCAACAGCGTGGCATCTAGGTCATCCGCGAGCTGCTGGCAAGTTGTAAATGGCACCCAATGAGATCCACAGGGTTCGGATTATTCACGCTTGTTCAGCCAATTTGGCTCTGGGCAGAATCCAGGGACTGTGAGAGCACGCATCAAGGAAGCCCACTGGGCTTGGGTGAACATCGCTGGGTCCACAGATACTCTACAAACAGCCGTCAAGCAGCAACTCATCGCAACAAGCCTCGTGCCAACGAGCACGTGCACATACGAAGCACATTTTGGTCAGACAAGCCTTCCACCTCCCTGATCTTGTGGACAACATGTGGTAAGGCTCTGTTAACCAACAGATTAGGACGTGACACTGGGCATTCAAATGAAGGCACGCTCGGCAAGCCACTAGCGGCAAATACATGTTCATGCGAATGCCCGAACCCGCGAAGGGAAATTTTTGGGGATCCCAGGATGTCTCGAGATATGCTTAGGAGTTCTCCAGGATTCAACAAACCCCACCA